ACAAAGAAAATTTTTTAAAAAGTTTTGTTCAAAAAAAAGTTTTTAAAAATATGTTATTTTTTTAAAAAAACAACACAAACCAAAGTTTAATTTTATTTAAAACAAAATAAAACAACAAATTTTTGGATTTATTAACCGTTAAACAACCAAGGATTACGCGCTAAAATTTTACAAAAATATCCAAAATTTGTTTTAAATTTAAAAAAGAAAAAGTAATTGAAAGTTCCTGTTTTATTACTAAACAAAAACAACAACAACAAAAAACCAACAAACACAAAATTTTTTTAAAAAACTTACAAAAAAAGTGTTATTTTAAAGAAAAAACTTAAAAGAAAAAATAAAAATATATTACAAAGCAAAAAAAAGAATAAAATTTGTGTTGTTCCTTTAAAAAAAAGGAACTAATTTCCCCAAAAAAAAAAGTACCTGTTTTTAAGTAAACAACAAAAAATTTTTTCTAAAAATTGTCTGAAAATTTTCTTAAAAAAAAGAAAATTAACAAAAAGTGTTTTAACAACAAAAATTTGTGCCAATTTTTTCCTCCCACAAAAGTTTTCGACAAAAAATTTATTACCAATGTTTTAATACAATTAAAATTTAAACTTAAATCTCTTTAAAACCAAAAATTTTTTTAACTTATTAAAAACAAACACACACACAAAAAATGGCTGAAGAATTACCCATTTTAAAAAGTATATTAAAAGGCAATGTCAACTATCACAATGCGCGTAAGTGTTTTAAATAACTTAACTTTAAGTTAAAATTTTAAAAAAATTGTTTTAATAATTTAATCTTTAAAATGTCTAGTTTGTTTTTATAAACAAAATTTCTTAAATAGTTAAAAAATTTCCTTAGTTTGCTCAGAACGTTACTAGAAGAAATTTTAAAACTAAAAGTTACAAATTTTGAAAATTTTCAATATTAGGTTGATTTTTAATTGTTTATAACTGGGTTAATATTGAAGCTTTTTAAAGAAAAATCCCAGCAATAATTCCTTATGGTCTTGTTATTCTCACTGCTAAAACTTATAGAAATAACATAATTTTTATCAAAGTTATAAGACTTAGAAAAAAGTTCAAAAAGTAAAAAAAAAAATAATATTTTTGAAAATTTTCAAAATTACAGTAGTTTTCCGATTTAACGACCATTCAATTCTACGAACATCGCATTTAACGAACAAGCTAATTTTTCCTATTGACTACCTTAAATAACGAACAAAACTTGTTTTTTGTACTCTGTTTAACGAACTAATAAAAATATTATTATTTAAATGAAGATAAAATGACATTTATCAAAAATAACAAATAACCTAAGTTGTAGCAAAAAACTATACCGTTGTTTAAGCGGTGCTTTTATACCCAAAACTGTAACACATTCTTGGTTCTTATTAAATTTTAGTTCGATGTAGCTATGTCCGTCCGTCCTTTAGATAATGACTTTAACGCTCAATACTCGCTTAACAATACGAGTACGCCGATGAAATTCGATACAAACATGTTCTATACTAACCGAAATCTCTAACAAATTTTATGGGAATCGGTCCATAATTGACCTTACCCTCCATATCAGGCCCCCTTAAGAAAATTACTTCAACGCTCATTACTCGCTTAAAAATACGAGTATAGCGATGAACTTCGAGAAATAACTTTAAAGCTCATGACTGAATTAAAAATACAGCGATTAAATTCGACACAAATATGGTTTGAAGGTGGGTATATAAGATTCGGAATTTTGTATTTTGTGCTATTTTTATAAAATACATTTAAAAAATATTTGATGTACCTATTTTTAATTATTTTCCTACCAAAAACCCACGTTTTAGTTAGTACTGCATATAACAAACTTTTCAATTTTACGAACAGGCCTGACAACATATGGGTTCGTTAAATCGGAAAACTACTGTATGTTGGTTTTTAATTGTTTATAACTTGGTTAATATGAAAGCTTTTTAAACCAAATTTGGTGTAATAATTCCTTAAGGTCTTGCTAATCTTACAGCTAAAAATTATAGAAATAACTTTATTTTTATCAAAGTTATAAGTTTTTGAAAATAGTTCAAAAATTAAAAAAAAAATTAAAAATTTTTGAAATTTTCAAAATTATGTTGGGTTTTAATTGTTTATAACTTAGTTAATATGAAAGCTTTTTGAACCAAACTTGCTGCAATGATTCCTTAAGGTCTTGTTATTCTGACTGACAAATATAATTAAAACATCTTTGTTATTTTCTAAGTTATAAGACTTTGAATATCAAACGAAATTTTTCTTAAAAAAATATTTTTCCAAAAATTTTTTTTTTTTTAAATGCTTATAACTTTCTTAATAACAAAGCTTTTTAAACCAAACTTACTGTAATAATTTCTTAAGGTCTTGTTATTGTTACAGCCGAAAATATTTAAAATTTCTTTATTATTACTTAAGTTATGAGACTTTAAAAGTTGTGCAAAAATTTCGAAAATACAAAAATTTTTACAAAAATAACTTAATTTTTAACAGTTCATAACTTGGTTAATAACAAACATTTCAAGCAGAAATTTAGTTAAATTAACACCCTTTAGACTTAAATAGACATACATTTCTTTAAAATATTTTCAAACAGTTCAAAATTTTAATTTTTCTTTATTAAAAAAAAAAATTATTTTAAATATTATTTTTATTTATTTGCTTTACAAAAATTTCTCTTTATTTTCATTTTTGACCAACTTTTTTGTTGTTGTATTTCTGTTATTATTATTATGATTATTTTCGCTGTGTGTCTGTTTTTGGGGGGCGCTAGCTGCTCTTTTTAAACTAGACAGAGACACCTTATGAAAGTTGTGTTGTCTGAAAAAACTTGTTTGTTGGTGTGTCTGTCTATACATGTTCAAAGTTTAGTTTAACAGCTTGTTTGGTTAATTTTTCTCCAAACAAACAGCAAAAAAAAAAAAAGCGCGCTCCAATTTTTTTTCTGTTTTCAATTCAAACTATGTTTATTTTCAGTTTTCATTTTCATTTGACCTGGTTTGTTTTGCTCCTAAAGCGAGTTAGTGGTATTTGATTTTGAAAAAAAGCCGGCTTTTTGTTTTTTTTTTTTTGTTATATTGAAAGCTACTTTTAGAAGAAATGAAAGAAAAGAAAAGTATGTCAGTAGTACTATTACTTTACTATATGATGGTTTGCTTCGGTTTGAAAGCTAGTAAAAATGCTTGTTTCTTTTTTTTTTTAAATAAAAAAGAGAGATTTCCTCTCACTTTGTTTGGTGTTTTGATGGTTTGAAATCAATTATATTGTAGCATAGAAATTAATTTAAAAAAGAAGAAGAAAAAAATCTAGTATTTCACTTTTTTTATGAATATTAATTGCTTTAAATAAAAGAGAAATCTATTTTTTTATAAGAAAATTTAGTTATTCTATAGTTATATTTAAATAAAAGTAAAAATTATTTAAATTTTGTTTTAAAAATGTATAAAATTTTTACTTAATTCTTTTTAAAGATTTTTTTAAAATTTTTAGGAAATTTTTTATTTATTTAAAAGATTAATCTCTTTAATTAGGTTAAGTTTTGTTTAATTTGTTTTATTTAATTTAAAGTTATAAAACTTTAAAAAAATGTTATAGCTAAAAATTGGTTTTAATTTTAAATTAATATATTTTCTTAAGTTTTAAAGATTTTTTAAAAAAATTTTCTTTAAAACAAAGTTTATGTTTTGGTTTTTAATTATAGAAAATTACATAAAATTTTGTTAAAAATTGTTAAAGTTGTGGAGTTTTGAAAATTTCGATTTTGGAAAATTTTTCAAAAATTTCTAAAATTGTAAAAATTTTAAGCTAATTTAATTTTAATTTAGTAAAAAATTAACGAAAAAGCTTTTATTGTTGTTATTAATTCCATTTTCTAAAGAAATTTTTCAAAATAATGGCAATAATTATAAAAAATTTACAAATTTTTAACATAAAATTTTTGCAAATTTTATCAAGATTTTTAATACATTTTTATTTTAAAACAAAGCTTATGTGTTAAACTTTACTTAAGTAAAATTTCTTTAAATTTCCTTAAAAATAATTAAAGTTATAAAATTCTGAAAATTTTAATTATTTCAACATAATTTTTTAATTTTATTTCTATTTAATTAAAATTTTTTTATCTTTTGTTATTAAATCTAGAGCTAAATCTATTACTTTTTCTAGCTCAAATTTTAACAATTTGAATATTTACTTTCTTTTTAACCTCAATTTCTAAACACCCAAAATCCAAACACATACACATTAACATACTTTAGTAACGAATCCAAAAAAACTCTTTTAAAGATGAAATGTAAATAAATTAAAGTACATTTTTTGGCATTGATAAGAAGAAAGAAAACAAATACAAAGCAAACAAACAGCTTCTTGAAGATCTAAACTTTCTTTCTTTCTTCTAGCTTGTTAACAAACACTCACACACATTAACTCTCTATACACACACATTCTCTCTCTTTCTCTCTACGCTCAATAATGAAAGTAACTTAGCTACCACAATATAACAAGCCAACAGTTTAACATAAACTACTTAAACATAAAACAAAAATTTCTGGGTCATGACCTCTTAATCTAGAGTTTCTAAAACACAAAAAAAATATTTTCTCAAAAAAACGTGACTTTTTAGTAACAAAAACAAAAAAACCCTCCAAAAAAAATGTGGGTGAATATTTTGTTTAAAAAAAGTAGTATTTTTTATTACCACAACAACAAAAAGAGAAAGTATAACAAACTAAAAATTAATATAAAAACAATGACAGTTGTAAGTTAACATTACAAGGCAAACAATAGCAACAACAAAACATAAATAAATACAAAACAAGGCAATGACCTACTTAAAACAATACCAGCTTCCTTTGAATGCAATGTAAACCCCTAGTTTGTAAAGTCTTTTCAAAAAAGGACCTTTTTTTCCAGCTGTTTTTAAAAATATTTACAACCACCTGTTGTTTTAAGTAATTTTAATAATTTTGTTGTTTTTTCTCTGTTCTGCTCTATTTTTAGCGGTGCGATTTGGTCGTGTGCCGAAACGTGAAAAGGCTCGCATATTGGCTGCCATGCAACAGTCAACACAGAATCGTGGCCAACAGCGAGCCTTGTCCGGTGAATTGGATGATCAACCGCGTCTATTGTCAGCCGTATTGAGAGCTCATTTGGAAACCTGTGAATTTACAAAAGAAAAGGTGGCGGCCATGCGTCAGAGAGCGCGTGAGTGCCCCTCCTATTCAATGCCCACATTATTGGTAAGTAAAAAAATCATTTCTTTTTAATTAAAAATCTTTTTTTTTTAAAAATGTTCATTATTTTTAGTTTAAAATATTTTTTAATAATGTTCCCTAATTAAAAAACTAATATTTCTTTTAATTTTTTCATATTTTTCTTTAAATTCTATTAATTTTTAATTTTTTCCTATAAAATTTGAGAATTTTTAATTTTTTCTTAAAACCAGTATTTTCAAATTAAAAACCAGTATTTTTAAAAATTTGTCTTAATTTTTTCTAATATAATGCCCTTAACAGATCTCGTAAATAAAGCTTAAATTACAAGAAATTTAATAAAATCTCTTAAAATTTCCCAGTATTTTTTAAAATAGCCTTAAAATTAAAAACCAGTATTTTGTACACACTAGCAAATTAAAGGGCCTTAAAAACTATAATTAAAATAAATAAACTTTATTGATATAAGCCACATTTAAGCTACTAAAATCAAAGTAATTTCTAAAAAGTGCAAAAAATTAACCAGTATTTTTCAAAATAGCTTTTAAAACTTTCAAAATAATTTTGAAACCCATGTTAAATTGTTGGCAAATAAAGTATAATTAAATAAAATAACAAAAATTTTAAGAATTATTAATTTTCTTTAAGAATTTTTTTTTAAATATAAGAAATTTTTGAAAAATTCTTCAAAATTAAACAGTATTTGTTAAAAATTCATATTAAAACTGTTTTTTTAATTAATAAAATTTGGCTTAATGTTTAGTTAAGTAAGAAATACTTTGTTTAGCAAGTAAAAATTATAACAAAAATACTTTTTATTTAAGTGTTTTATAAAAAATAAAAGGATGAAAATGAAAAATCTTGAAATTTAACCAGTATTTTTAAAAATTGCTTTAAAAAGTTAAAATAATAAAAGAAAATTGTAGGCAAATAAAGCTTATGTAGGAACTGTTTTAGTTTTTAGCAGAAAACTTCAAAAATTTTCTTTATTTTGGGAAATTTTTATAAAATATTTTCCCAGTATTTTTAGAAAAACTTTTTAAAATTGGTTAAAATTAACTAGAAATATTAAAATTTATTATAAAACGACTTAATTCTTTAGTTTTTTATAAATTTTGTGCAATTTGGAGACAAAATTTTAATTTAATATTTTTCAAAAATTTCCCAGTATTGTTTATTTTATTAAATTATAAAGAAATGTAGTTGTAATTTAAAAAATTTTTGTGTAATCTATTATAATTTAAAGAAAACTTTCAATTTCCATTAAAAAATTTACCCAGTATTTTTTAAAAAATTTCCACTATTTTTTTAAATTTTAAAAATTTCTATAAATAACAGCAAAATTCAATGAATTAAATAAATCTAAAGAAAATTTATTAAAAATTAACATAAAATTACCAGTATTTTTCTTTAAATATTGAAAAATATTAGTAATTTTAAGTCTTTCTCTTAAATTACAGAAATTTAACTATTATTTGTTTTAATTATAGCGTATTTTGCAATTCGTTCTTGTTTTAATTTTATTTTGTATTTAGAGTTCTGGTTTAATTTTTATTTTCAAAATTACCTTTTAACAAACAAAACAAGGTTAACAACTAGTATTTGTAGTCTTATTAACATATTTGTTTCTTTTTTTTTAATGTTTAAACTTAATACTAAAAGAAACCTTTAGATTTTCAATGTTTTTTTTCAGTTTATTTGAAAAGGTGTTAATCACAAAGTTTGTCTTATTTTAATTTAAGTTTTTTTATGTGTAAAACTTAAATCTTATGGTTTAAGGTCTTTAAACCAGGAAATTATTTAAAGCCAAGATTTTCATACATATTTCTTCATTGAAAACTCAGCAGCCTTCGTTCACATTATAAAAATAATTAGTAATAAAATTATGTTAAAATACTAAAACACACACAGCGAGTGATAACTATTTAAAACAAGGTTTTTCCTAAATAAGTAATATTGATATAATTATAATTTTTCTATACATTTTTTTTGCCAGACAAATGACTCAGTATTTTTTGTAGGTGATTGTTTTCAAACTGATTAGAAAACCTGCTAAATGCCATTATTTTCTAATACTTTGTTCTCTTGTATTATTATAGAGAAATGTAAATGTCATGTGAATAAATAATTCTAAAAATGAAAAAAAAAAACTATAAATATTTCCTTATTTATTAGTAAATATGCAATTTTGCAAGGTTGTTTATAGAGACAACAACAACAACAACAGCAGCGTCATTTTAAATTATATTGTTTATTAAGGCTATTAAATTAATTTAGAGAAATTTCTAATCATAACTATTAAATTAAAACCAGGGGAATTTTTTTTTGTTTAACCCTTTTATACCCCGGACCTCCTTTCACACTTTTCACTTAATTTTTGTTTAAATTTATTTGTTGTATCAAAGTTCTAAACTTTTTATTTAGAATATATTGTTATTGTTTTTTTGTTTGTGTTTAGCTTTATTGTTTGTATTGTATAGATACGAAATTTTGTATTTTTTTTTGTTAAACAAAAAAATTCAAGGTTAAAAAATAACACTCGTCAAGGTCGTCTGTGCTGCGTTCTTTTTTTTAATAATAAAATTATATATAAAGTTCTGACATGTGCAAATTTCTATATAAATATTAAATTAAACAAGAAAAAAAGATTAATAACATTCTCTTTAAAAACAAAAAAAAAGTGGCAAAAAAATTTCCTCTACAAATATTATAAAACAAAATAACTGTCATTTTAAGTCAAATATTTCCAATATTAAACCTTGCACTTGTCTTCTTGTTTATGTCTTCTTCTTTTCTTTAATTATTTATATATAAAATTTAATTTCTTAGCTAAATATTTAGCAATTAAACAATTTCTTTTTTTTTGTTAAACTGTTGCCAGTTGATGATGACTAAAACAAAACCGTAACAATAGACTTAAATATAAATAAAAATTTAATAACAACAACAGAAAAATATTAAATAAAATACCTCTGCTTAAAAATAAACAACAACAATAAAAAATGACGTTCTAACTGACCTTGGCTAAATTAAAAATAAGAATATATTTTATAAAATTGTTTTGTTATTAAATGTTTATCAGAAAAAAAAAGAATTAAACAAAAAACAAAAAAGTTAAGCCAAAAAAAAAAAGAAAACCTTTTTCTAATAGGGTAAGCTGTTAAAAACCTGCATTTTAAGTGATTTTAAACAAAATACTGGAAAAATTTTTCAAATTTTATTAATTTACTTAAAATTTTTATAACAAAAACTATTTTAGCAATAACTTTAATAGCTTAAGAAAAATTTAAAGAATTTTTTTATATTTATAAGACATTTTTTATAAAATACTGGTTTTTTATTTTTGTAAATACTGGTATTTCTATATAAAAATACTAGGTTTTTATAGTTTTTTTAAAAGTAATTTTCTTTTAAGAAGTTTTTAATAATATTTTCAAAATAATGGTTTTTAATTTAAAGTTTATTTTAAAAAATACTGGGAAATTTTTTTAAAATTTGTTAAATTTTTTAAGATTTTATTAGTAAACAAAATTTCTTTATATTGTTAAAACATTAAGAAAAATTTTTAAAATTTTTTTATATATTTAAAAATTTTCTTAAAAATACTGGGAATTAATAATTTCAAAATACTGGTTTTTGTGTTAGAAAATTTACTTAATAAAAATTGCTAAAAAATGTAAAACTTTTTAAAGAAATTTTTAAAAATTGTTTGTTTTTAATATATTAAATTTTTAAACATATATTAAAAAATACTGGGAATTTTTTTCAAATTTTATTATATTTTTAAGGTTTGGAAAAGAAAAAAATAATTTTATAATAATTTTAGATGATAAAGAAAAATATAGAGAATTTTTTTGTTTATTTTTAAATTTTTTGGAAAAATACTGGTTATTTTTTATAGCCAAATACTGGGTTCTTTGTTGTTAAATATGGTGAAATTTTTTTCTTATTTAAGGTATTATTTTTTAAAGTATTTTTCTAGAATTTCTGTTACTTTGTAAAAGGGCTTTTTAGGTCCATTTTTTAAAATACTGGGAAATTTACTTTTAATTTCTTTTAATTTATTAAGTTTTAAGGGTTATTTTTTAAGGTTTATTGGTTTAAATGTTATTAGCAAATAATTCCTTTTATATTTCATAAATACTGGGTTTTTGCAAAATACTGGTTTTTATTTTTGTTAAGAAAAATTAAGATTTTTAAAGAATTTTTTAAGATATGTGGGTTTTATAGATTTTTTGGCTTGTGGGCATTAATACTGGGATTTTGTTTTCTTGATGAAAGCCCTTTTGTTTAGTTTTCTATTTTTTTTATTATTTCCGGTTTAAATTTCACACTTTTTTTGTTGTTTTTGCATATTTTTGCACCGGTGTGTCTAGTATATGTGTGTGTGTGTTTTCTTTGTGGCTTTGATATTTTAGTTACAATACCGGCAATTTGCACTTGACCAAGGCTAAATATTATTTAATGCTCTTGTTTTTTTGTTTTTGCTCTCTTTCTTTTTACACTCTCTAGAATGCAAAATTTTAAAATAGTTGTTGTTTTATTTCTTTAGTCTATTTTTTTTTTGCACGTGTAGTAGTTTTGTATTTAAAATACACTGTTAGAATTTTATTCTATTTTTTGTTGTTGTTGTTATTTTCTAGTCTATATAAATATTTCAAGGTTAATTTTATATATTTTGTCTATTTTATATATTAGTTTTTTTTTGTTGTTATTGTAAAATAGAAAAAGATTCATTCTCTTTAAACAAATGACGTCACTTGTTGGAATATTTAATCTTAGTGTATTTGCTTGACGAAACCGGAAAAGAAATATGTAGTAGTTTTTTTGCAAGATGTTGAAAACTTGTTGTAAAATGTTGAAATAAAAAGTTTTACCTTGAACTTTTTGGGTTTATTAACCTTGACTTTTACATAGTTTTCTACAAACCCCCATTAAATGTTGTAAACAGTTAGAAAAGTCATTTTGTAGGCGTGTGTGATGTTATTATTATTGATTTCTTTCATTGATATTTTTATATTACAATAATTACAATTGTTTTTCCTGTTGACCTTCGCGTGAACTTATTTAATAACAGTTGTGTACAACAACAACAAAAACAATATTTATTAATTTCCTTAAAACATGCAAGGTTTTTCCGCCTTAAAACAGAATCTGTTAAGCTGTTGCTTATGTTATACATTTTTCTTTATCTTTCCAGGCCTGCCCTCTTAATCCCGCCCCTGAACTACAGTCCGAACAGGAATTCTCCCAGCGATTTGCCCATGTTATACGTGGCGTCATCGATTTTGCTGGCATGATACCCGGCTTCCAGTTGCTATCACAAGACGACAAATTCACCCTGCTGAAGGCTGGTCTCTTTGATGCTTTATTCGTGCGCCTGATCTGCATGTTCGATAATTCCATTAACAGCATTATCTGCCTGAATGGTCAAGTTATGCGTCGCGATGCTATACAGAATGGTGCCAATGCCCGTTTCCTGGTAGATTCCACTTTCAATTTTGCCGAACGCATGAATTCCATGAATTTAACAGATGCCGAGATTGGCCTATTCTGTGCTATTGTCTTGATTACACCCGATAGGCCGGGTTTGCGCAATATTGAGTTGATAGAGAAAATGTACAGCCGCTTGAAGGGTTGCCTGCAGACCATTATCAATCAAAATCGTCCCGATCAACCGGATTTCATGAGCAAGTTGCTGGAAACTATGCCCGATTTGCGCACTTTGAGTACTTTGCACACAGAAAAATTGGTGGTTTTCCGCACAGAACATAAGGAGCTGTTGCGTCAACAAATGTGGTCCATGGAGGATGAACAGCCCTCTTTATCCAAGAGTCCGCATAACTGGGAAGATCAACGCATGGAGGTGGGTGAAGCTAAAAGTCCTTTGGGTTCGGTTTCTAGCACAGAGTCCAATGATTTGGATTATCCAGCCGCCAGCACCACCACAAATAATGCCAGCTCAGCTAATAACCATCTCAATCATTTGCTACCCCAACAGACCTCTTCTTTGGCTTCATCGGCTCCCTTGCTGGCCGCCACCTTGTCCGGTACTTGCCCTCTACGCAATCGTGCCAATTCCGGTTCGTCCGGTGATTCCACCAATGAATTGGATATGGTGGTGGGCAGTCATGCTCATTTAACCCAAAATGGCTTAACCATTACCCCCATTGTCAGAGCTCATTCCCACCAACAGCTGCATCATCATTTAACAGCAGCGGCCAATGCTACACATCGTTATCGCAAGCTAGACTCACCCACCGACTCGGGCATCGAATCGGGCAATGAGAAGAATGAGTGCAGTAAAAATGTTAGCTCGGGCGGTTCCTCTTCCTGTTCCAGTCCCCGTTCCAGTGTGGATGATGCTTTGGACTGTAATGTAGAGGCCCAAACTAATAGTGGCACACAAGTAACGGTTTCTGTTTCACCTGTCAGATCACCACAACCTTTGAGTCAACAGCCAGCCAGTTCAACGTCCAATAGCAACAACTCTTCTTCTAACTCTTCGCTGAACTTAAAAAGACAAATAGTAGATGATATGCCCGTCTTGAAGAGGGTATTACAGGCTCCTCCTTTGTATGATACCAACTCTTTAATGGATGAGGCTTATAAGCCACACAAGAAATTCCGCGCCTTAAGGCATAGAGAATATGAATGCACGGAGGCGGATGCCAGCAGTTCTACCCAGACTACAATGCCGCAACTACCCGCCTCTTCAAACAGTCCCCCACACCAAAATGCCCAAAGTCCACCACCACCAGCCAGCAGCAGTAGCATAAACTCAACGGCAGCTGTTAATACAGCTGCATCTACGCAACAGCCGGTTTTACTGGTGCCACAAGCCACGCATTCCCCGCCTAACCCCTTGTCGGCCTCACCACCAGCCATTGCTCAACACCAAAGCCAATTGCACATGCATTTGACCAGACCCACACCCACCAATTCGAATGCGGCTTCTACACAACAGCAGCAGACTTCTTCTTTGTCCAGCACCCACTCGGTTTTGGCGAAATCTTTAATGGCCGAGCCACGCATGACTCCCGAACAAATGAAACGCTCGGATATTATACAAAACTATATAATGAGAGATTCACAGCCCTCGGCCAACTCCTCGAATGCTTTGCTGGTGTGCTCGCCCCATGGCCCTGGCAGCCGTAGTCCGGCTCCCTTGCATCATCAAATGCAAATGCACAATTTGTATAATAATGGCAGCAATTCGCCCAACTCGAGCACTTCACCACACAACAATTGCAACTCACCCTCCACCACAACTAATGCGGGGCTTAATAACAATCTAGCCTCACCGCCCAGCAGCAGCCCGGCGGCAGCACGTTGGCCCGGACATTCCGTTATAACCACCACCACCATTAATCAACGCCAGCAATCGGTGTCGCCCAGCAGTAATGGCTCTTCTTCCTCCTCTTCCTCCACCTCTTCAACATCTTCATCATCGTCGTCTTCTTCCTCCGCCTCCTCCTCGAATTCATCATCAGCAGGTTGTCAGTATTTCCAGTCGCCTCACTCCACCTCAGCCTCGGTCTCACCGCCTCGTCCCTCGCCCTCGCAAATGAATACACCACCACGGCTACTAGAACTCCAGGTGGATATTGCTGACTCTCAACAGCCTTTAAATTTGTCCAAAAAGTCACCCACACCACCACCCAGTAAATTGCAAGCTTTAGTGGCTGCTGCCACAGCGGCCCAACGTTATCCCACGGTGTCAGCCGATGTTACCGTAACAGCCACCTCCAGCAATAATAACAACAACACCACCACAGCAGCCGCCACCACTACAACAACACTACAGCAAAAAGTTATGTTAGAGGCGTAAGTGTTAAAAAGCTTTAAGCTGGTTATAAAATAAAGCTTGTAATTAAAGGAAAGTGCTTAAGCAGGGAGAAAGTTTTTGTTTTTCGGTGAAGAAAGCTTTTAAAACCTTTTAAAGCTGTTTACAGTATTTTTTGTTTTAGTTGGCTTTTGTTTTAAAGGTTTTTATTTAAGAAAAGCTTTCTTGAAAACTTTCTCTCTTAAGCAAAACAAAACTTTCTGTGTAAAGTTTCTTTATCTAAAGAGAGAATTTGTGTAAAAATAAAACAAATACAATTTTAAATGATCGAGACTGAAAACCAACAAATTACCATTTAACATTTAACAAACTTTAAACAAAAAACAGAAAATCATTTAGCAAAAGTAACAACAAAAAGGTTTAATTATTTATTAAAAAAACAAACAATTTCCTTAAAATTTAAACCTTTTTATATAATTTACAGGGGCGGGCAAACCTACAAAAAAAGAAAAAAGTTATAAAATAATTTTTTTTTAACAATTTTGCTGTTAATTATAATAAAACCAACTATAAATTATAATAAAAAAAATATTTATTGTACAAAGTTAATATTAATTATAAAAAAAATCAAATGCATGCAATTTAAAACAAAAATTGTCCTTTTTAATTATTAAAAAAAAATTAATGTTATTTAAAAAAAACACAATTTTTAAACCTTAAGCTTGTATTAATTATTACAAAAAAAATAAAAAATAATTAATTATAAAAAAAATTACACACACACAAATTTGTAATTATTAAATGTATTAAAAAAATTGATTTTTAAAAAAACCTATACTTAAACTTAAAAAATAAATTAATTTTAAGTTTTTTTTTCTAAATTTAAAAAAATGTGGTTTCTAAAACCTTTTGTTTTTTTTTGGTTGAAAAAAAAAAATTTTAAAACATTTTTTTCCAAAAGATGATTTTTTTGTATAAAATTTAAAAGAAAACTCTGCGAGTTGAAAATTTATTTTTATTTTTAATTATTAAAACTGCTTAAACAACAAGTGGCAAATATTATTTTAGTTTTCTTAAGATTTTTAACTATTAATTTTTAATTTTAAAGCTTCTCTTTTTTTTAATTATAAACTATTTTCTTAATGTTTTGTTTTTTTTCTTTTTTATATATTTTTTTGTTTTTTTATGTATTTAATTATATTATTATTATTTAATTTTAAGTTTTATTTTATTAAGTTTATTACTATTATTATCACATTTAAGTTTGTATAGTAACAATTTTTATTATTAATTATATAAAAACAAAAAAAAAAAACTACAACAAAAAAACAAAAAAAAACCTATATAAAAAAAACAAATTTCCAATTTTATTTTTCTTAAATAAAATAAAAAACAATTTTTTTAAAAATCCTACAAAAAAAACCACAAGTTATTCTTTTTATTTCTTTTTTAGTTTTTGTGTGTTCAGTTTGATTTATTGATTTTGTTTTGTCGTTAAGCTGCGAAATATTCACTTTTCTTTCAACGGCATCTATATTTTTTAAAAAAATTTCTTGAAAAAAACACAAATTATACTTTGCTTAAGTGTCTAAATGTCTTTTTGAAAAAGGTTTTTAATAAAAAAACTTAAAGAAGTAAGAAATTCAGTTTAAAAAGTTTTAGAATTCTTCTTGGTTTCCTTAAAAAGAAAATGTTTTCAGTTGTTTTAGTAAAATTAGATCACAGCTGCTTTGCTTAAGTGTCTAAACTCCGGTTCAAACCTGGTAACAAGAAAATTATTGAAGTAGTTTGGGGCTGAGTTTTAAAAGTTGAATAAATCTTCTTGATTTCCTTAAAAAGAAAATGTTTTCAGTTGTTTTAGTAAAATTAGATCACAGCTGCTTTGCTTAAGTGTCTAAGATCATGTTCAAACCTGTTATCAATCAAATTGTTAAAGTAGATTGAAATTCAGTTTAAAAAGTTTAAGAAATCTTCTTGATTTCCTTAAAACGAAAATGATTTCAGTTTTTCAAGTAAATTTGGTTTTCAACCGCTTTGCTTAAGTGTCTAAGTTCATGTTCAAACCTGTTATCAATCAAATTGTTAAAGTAGATTGAAATTCATCTTAAAATGTTTAAGAAATCTTCTTGATTTCCTTAAAACGAAAATAATTTCAGTTTTTCAAGTAAAATTGGTTCTCAACCGCTTTGTTTAAGTGTCTAAATTGCTTCTGAAAACGCCATTTAATAATATACTTGAACTAGATTGAAATTGTGTTTGAAGAGTTTAAGAAAGTCTCTAGATTTTCTTAAAATCAGAATGATTTCAGTTTTTCAAGTAAAATTACTTCTCAACCGCTTTGCTTAAGTATCTTAATTGCTTCGGAAAACGCCATTTAAAAATATGCTAGAAGTAGATTGAAATTGTGTTTGAAAAGTTTAAGAAATTCTCTTGATTGCCTTAAAATCAAAATGATTTCATTGTTCAAGTAAAATTTGTTCTGTCACTTTGCTTAAGTGTCTAAATTGCTTTTGAATACTTTATTTCAAAAATGTTTGAAGTAGAAAGTAAGTGAGTTCAAAGGTTAAATAAACTTTTATAATTTCTTTAAAAACATGTTGTCTTCAACTGTTTTAATGAAACTTGTTTGAAACTGCTTTGCTTAAGTGTCTAAATTTCTTTTAAAAACTTTATTTCAAAAAATTTTAAAGTAGGAAGTAAGTGGATTCAAAAGCTAAAGAAATCTTTATAATTTCCTTCAACAACATGTTGTCTTTAACTATCTAAATGAAATTTGTATGAAGCTGCTTTGCTTAAGTGTCTCAATTGATTTTTAAAACATCAATAACCATTAAACATTGAAGCAGAAAGTATTTAAGTTTAAAAGGTTAAAGAAATCTTCATGATTTCCTTAAGAATAGGTTGTCTTCCACTATGTAGATTAAATTTGCTTAACAACTGTTTTGCTTAAGTGTCGAAATGGCTTTTTAAACCGCCTTTCTTTAAAGTACTTGAAGAAGAACGAAACTGAGTTTAAATGTTTGAAGAAATCTTCATAATAGCAGCTATTCGAATAAGATTTGTTTAAATAAAGGAACTTCCTAAAGGTTTCAATTTACAAACCTGCTTAAGTGTCCAAATTGTTTGGTTTTTAAACAGAACTTAATGAAATTGTTTAAACATACAGACAATTACTTTAAAGTTGACAGTTTTACTGTAATATTTAACAAACAGTTTGTATATCACTTTAAAGTTGAAAATCCCCTCAAGCTGAAGTGTCTAAATTTTCTGATTTTTTCCAACAAACTTTAACGCATTCATTAACTTAATGACTTAAAAGTCTTTTAGCAAACACTTCATAACGATAGTTTAAAAAGTTTTCATGGGAAAATGCATTTTAAAGTAAATTTCTTAAAAAACCCACCCAATCATCATTTCTTAAAAAACCCACCCAATCATTAAAAACACTTTCCCCTCATTTCCGCAGCTAATTTCCCCAGATAATTACCAAAAAGGACGAAAAATCTACAAAAACCTCGCTTTTTCCTATAAAAAGTCTTAAAACACCACGTGGGCGTATGATTGATATATAATTAAACATTTCAAAAATATTAAGTATACGCCACTAGTTACGTAGAGATTAAAGGAACTCTGGGAAGGAGTTGTCCTAGAGAATTCTTATGGTGATTTTCGGAATGAGCATGTGCAGTTCCGAGTCAAAAAGGTTTTCGGGCCATCTAGGTCCAGCGGTTTCTGAGATAAATGCAAAAAACTAAAAATCCTGAATTAAGTAAAATTGCAAATCGTTTTTCTCAGACACATAGGAAATAATAGTATGGACACATACCATATAAGTGAAAAATAAAAGCTAAAGCATACTTTCGGGTGTTCTTTATATACAAAAGTTTTCAAAGTAGAAATTTGCTTAAAATTGCTATAAAAAGTGTTTAGGAACGTGAATTTGGACTAAAATCATTGTTAGATTAAACTTTTAAAGTTTTATAGCCACTACGGTCCTTAGTTTTCAAGTTATCTACCAAAAACTGTATATGGAGTGTTATGACACAATACATACAACTTTGCTTCATTGTTGTTAGATAACAAAAGTGTAAATGCTAAGAGATATATAGCAGCCTTTGAGGAGCTTTAGCAACTCTAATAACATCGGCAGTTTGCTTAAGAATTTTGATTTTAAACAGATTTTAGTGTTATATTAAGGCCTTTTTAACTAAGCATTTCCAGAGAAAGTTTTTAGACAAAATGGTCGAAAAACCCTTTACATATGTTGCAACTACTGTTAACTTTCCAAATCCTTCCTAATATTCTTTAAAATTATCAGTTTTCTTAAAATTTTCTCCATTTTTCTTCCCCTCCCACTATTTGTGTAAAATAACACCCTAAAGTATGCTTTAGTATTAAAACTCTTAGAATTATGGTTGTTGTCTGTACTATTTGCTGCTGAGTGTCTAGGAAAATTTACTTGCAATTTTACTTAATTCAGGATTTTTAGTTTTTTGCATTTATCTCAGAAAGCGCTGGAGTTAGATGGCCCGAAAACCTTTTTAATTCGGAACTGGACCTGCTCGTTCCGAAAATCACCATTAAAATTCTCCAGGACAACTCCTTCCCTGAGATCCTGTAATATCTACGTAACAAGTGGCGTATACGTAATATTCCAGGAAATGTTTATTACCTAACACTCATACGCCCTGTTTGTTGGCAAATAAGAGAAGGAGTGTAATGAAGAGCAAATTGTAAGTTTTTGTGGGAATTTGGTAATTTAAAGCACTTATCTGGAGATTTTAGTACTAAAAATTGTAGTTTAGTACTTTTTTCAAAAAGTACTTAATCTACTAATGTTTTCTAAAAGTACTTTTTTTGTAGTTTTTAATAACTAAAATTACTTTTTTCTTTAAAATATTTTATGAAAATTATAAAAAAGGCTAAAAGCCTTTTTTCAAAAAGTACCTAATCTACTACTATTTTCTAAAACAACTTTTTTATAAATTTTCACTGAATATTACTTGTGTTTTAACGAAATCTTGTAAAAATTTATGAAATTTTATAGTTTGTAAAAAAGTACTAAAAATACTACTTTTTCCTAAAAGCAGTTTTTAAACATTTTACTTGATTCTTGACATTATATGAAGAAAAACATAACAATTTTACATTTTTTTAAAAGGTACTAAAACTACTAATTTTTTCTAAAAGTGAATTTTATGCATTTTTACTTTATTTCACTTAAAATTTTACTTAATCTAGTTAAAATTTCTCGATTTTTACAGTTTTTCAAAAAGTGCTAAATTACTACTATTTTCAAAAAGTTGTTTTAAAACATTTGTAAAGCATTTTACTTGATTCTTGACAAGATATGAGTTAAAATATAACAATTTTACACTTTTTTA